GAACAATCCCCTTTGGATTGGACTCTGTTACTTGATGTGTCGGTGCTCCCCACTCTCCTCCAGCACTGTTTGTAGGCTGTGATGGGAAGATGGCAACTTCATCTCTGCCATACAAAATCAAAATTGTTAAGAACAATGCAGAAAAGAAAGAAGAGTTCAACAGATAGGTCTGTTCTACATTTGGAGAGAAGCAGGATGCTGTATTCAGGTCACACGAGGATGATGAAGGGTTTTCCAATCCATTAGTGACTTAGGAGGGTGACAAGCGACATCTGCTAGCAATGAACACTGTTTAATCAGCAGGATAACTTGCACCCAAGAGTCCTAAAGGAACTGGCTAAGGAGATCTCTGGCCAGCTAATGTTCATTTTGGGGGTAGCAAGGAAATTGCAGGAGACAGGAAGAGTACTAATGTGCCAATAGTCAAAAAGGTCAAGCAGGATGACCTGGGTAATTAGAGGCCAGTTAGCCTGGCATCAATCCTGGGCAGAATAATGGATCAGCTGATACAGGATTTAATCAATAAAGAATTAAAGGATAGGAATATAATTAATGCCAGTCAACAAGGTTTTATAGAAAACAGATCTTGTCAAACGACCCTGCTTTCATTGTTTGATGTGATTTCAAGGTTGGTTGATAAAGGTAACTGTAGTTGTAATAGATTTAAGAGTTTTGTAAGGCCTTTGACTTAGTACCCACACGACATTCTGCTTAAAAAATGAGCACGATACAACATCAATAAAGGACACACGAAACAGATTAAGAACTGGCTAGCTGATAGGTCTCAAAAGTAGTTGTCAATGGGGAATCATCACATGGAGCTGTTTCTACTGGATTCCACAGGGACTAGTTCTAGGACTGATGCAGTTCAATGCTGTCATCAGTGACCTGGGAGAAAATCTAAAGTCGCTGTGTATAAAATCCGTGGATGGCAAAGCTTGGCAGAGAGGTAAATAAGGATGAGGACAGGACAGTCATACAGCGCAATCTGGATTGCCTGGCAAGCTGGGCCCATTCAGACCCATGTGTTTATTGTCAAATGCGAAGTTATACATCTAGGATCACAGGATGCAGGCCTGACCTGAGGGGGGGTGCTGTATTCTGGGAAGCAATGACTCTGCACAGGATCTAGGGTCACAGTGGACAAAACTCAATATGAGGTCCCAGTGCAATGCTGTGTCAAAAAAGGGCTCAAAAAAGAACTAGATAAATTCATGGAGGGTAGGTCCATCAATGGCTATTAGCCAGGATGGGCAGGGGTGGCGTCCCAAGCCTCTGTTTGCCAGAAGCTGGGATTGGGTGACAGGGGAGGGATCACTTGATGATTCCCTGCTCCGGTCATTGCCTCTGGGGCCCCTGGCATTGGCCACTGTTGGCAGACAGGACGCTGGGCTAGGTGGACCTGTGCTCTGACCCAGTCTGGCTGTTCTTATGTGATCCTTGGATGCACGAACAGGGAATTCGTGAGCAGCAGGGAGGTGATTTTGTGTACGATATTGGTGAGACTAATACTAAAATCCTGCGTCGGGTTCTGGGCTCCATTTTATAAAGAATGTTGAAAAATAGGAGAGGGGACAAATGAGCCACAAATATTATTTGAGGGCTGGCGAAAATGCCCGACAGCGAGAGACTTACAGCTGGATCTGTTTAGCTCCTTCAAGAGAAGGCTGAGAAGTGACTGGATTATTACAATGTATAAGTATCTTCAGGTACTAACGGGCTCTTTTCTCTGAGGGAAAGAGGCCTAACAAATTACACTGCAGTCCAAGAGGTGAGACCCGAGCGGATTCAGACGGGAAATGAGGCGTGCATGTCTGGGTGCCGTGTTGTTCACAGGGTATTAGAGACGAGGCGGGTGAGCTCATCTCTTTTATTGGACCCACTTCTGTTTTTGTGAGAGCAGCTTAAGAGTGGCGTGCAGCGTCTCTCTCACCGACAGAAGTGGGTCCAATAAAAGATCTGACCTCACCCACACGTCTCGCACACATTTCTGACAGGGAGCGGGAGGAACCACTGGAGCAAGCTCCCAAGAGAAGTGGTGGATTTGCCATCGCTTAATGTCTTCCCAGCCAGCCTGGCTGCCTGTCCAGACAGTGCTGTTGCCAAACCCAAGTTACTGGGTCATACGGGGGTAACGGTGGAATTCTTTGGCCTGGGCTCTACAGGAGGTCAGACTAGATCAGCGGTTCTCAAAGTGTGGGGTTGGGACCCCATTTTAATGGGGTCGCCAGGGCCAGTTAGGCTTGCTGGGGCCTGGGGCTGAAGCCAAAGCCTGAGGACTTGAGCCTGGGGTGGCAGGGCTCTGCCCCCTCGCCCGGCCCCCCCCAACACACACACACTCCTCACACAGGAGCGGTGCTCGTGTTCTGCCCCCCCCGCTCCCCCCACCCACCCACACACCTCACACAGGAGCGGTGCTTGTGTTCTGCCCCCCCCCGCTCCCCCCCACACACACCTCACACAGGAGCGGGCTCTCTTCCCCCCCCCCCCCCCCCCCCCCACACAGGAGCGGTGCTTGTGTTCTGCCCCCCCCCCCCCACACACCTCACACAGGAGCGGTGCTTGTGTTCTGCCCCCCCCCGCTCCCCCCCCACACACACCTCACACAGGAGCGGTGCTCGTGTTCTGCCCCCCCGCTCCCCCCACACACACACCTCACACAGGAGCAGTGCTCGTGTTCTGCCCCCCCCGCTCCCCCCACACACACACCTCACACAGGAGCAGTGCTCGTGTTCTGCCCCCCCCGCTCCCCCCCACACACACACCTCACACAGGAGCAGTGCTCGTGTTCTGCCCCCCCGCTCCCCCCACACACACACCTCACACAGGAGGGGCTCGGCTCTGCCCCCCCCCCCCCCCCCCACACACACACCTCACACAGGAGCAGTGCTCGTGTTCTGCCCCCCCCCCCGCTCCCCCCACCCACCCACACACCTCACACAGGAGCAGTGCTCGGGCTCTGCCCCCCCCGCTCCCCCCCACACACACACACCTCACACAGGAGCAGTGCTCGTGTTCTGCCCCCCCGCTCCCCCGACACACACACCTCACACAGGAGCGGTGCTCGTGTTCTGCCCCCCCGCTCCCCCCACACACACACACCTCACACAGGAGCGGTGCTCGGGCTCTGCCCCCCCCAGCTCCCCCCCCCCACATCTCACACAGGAGCGGTGCTCGGGCTCTGCCCCCCCGCTCCCCTCCACCCCCACACACACCTCACACAGGAGCGGTGCTCGGGTTCTCCCGCCCCTGCCCCCCCCCCACACGAGCGGTGCTCGGGCTCTGCCCCCCGCTCCCCCCCCACACACACCTCACACAGGAGTGGTACTCTGTTCTGCCCCCCCCCCCCGCTCCCCCCCACACACCTCACATGGGAGCGGTGCCGCTCTGCCCCCCCCAGCTCCCCCCACACATCTCACACAGGAGCGGTGCTCGCCTGCCCCCCGCTCCCCTCCACCCTCACACACACCACACAGGAGCGGTGCCGGCTCCCGCCCCCGCCCCCCCCACACACACCTCACACAGGAGTGGTACTCGTGTTCTGCCCCCCCCCCGCTCCCCCCCCACACACCTCACATGGGAGTGGTGCTCGGGCTCTGCCCCCCCCCCCCAACACACACACAGGGCAGCGGTGCTCAGGCTCTGCCCCCCGGCCCCGCCCCCACCCCCCCCACACACAGGGCAGCGGTGCTCGGGCTCTGCCCCCCTCCCGCCCGGGGTCACGTAGTAATTTTTGTTGTCAGAAGGGGGTTGTGGTGCTCTGAAGTTTGAGACCTGCTGGACTAGATGATCGAATGGTCCCTTTTGGCCTTAAACTCTGACTGTCCCAGGCCTTGTATCTCTAGTGACACGTGACGGGGCCCCGTGAGCGGCTGGATCGTGTTTCTTCTGGACATTCTGTGCCGCCTTGTTCCGCCTAAGGCCCGAGCGCTGCGGTGGGAAGCCATTTTTGGGGGGGGGAAACCGTATTTTCTCTGTTCTTCCAGTGTGTTTCGCCCGGTGCATTTGACAGTGCTTTGGGGGAAACTCACCCCTGCGCAGAGGGGCTGGCGGGGGCCTGGTGGGGCTTTGCAGCAGCTCTCCACACAGCGCTGTCGCCTTCGGGTCCCCAGCGGGGAAGCAGAAGAGCGAATGACAATTTAAAAAAAAAAAAAGATTAAAGAGAGAGCCGGGGCCAGATGCCCAGCTGGAAAAAACAGGAGTCACCCCATCGAAGCCCCTGGGCCCCGTGTCTCTCTACAGCAGATGACGCTCTGGCCTCCTGGTCACAAGGGAGCTGTATGTAAAGCTGGAGCGGACAGGGACCCTCGTGTCTTCTGTGCGGATCACTATGTCAGATACACTCTAGGCAAGGAGAGTGAGTTCCTCGCAATGGGGCCAGCTAGCCCCTCGGTGGTTTCCACTGCAAGGCACCCTGTCAGCTCCTTGCTCCGTGTCTCTGTCAGTCAGAAAGACAGCTCCTCCGGTTCCCCCAGCGTGGCTTCTGAGCCGGCAGAAGAGTAAATGGGCTGGCCTCAGGGCCACCAGCCCCAGCTCGTGGCGGGACACGTCGGCGGGACACGAAGGACGTCAGGACCAAGCCACGCAGCCTGGCCCCGGGGATGAGGACGGGACAATCTCCACAGTCCTTGTCTCTCGGGTGTGAAAGTGCCCGTGGCTGGTGCTGCTGGGCTGCGCTTTGGCCGGCCCTGGCTGTCACAGTGCGTCTCAGGCGAGGCCCTTCCGCAGCCCTGCCTTGCTGGGAAGTCGGACCGTGGCTGGCAGGGCTGCGCCGTCTGCAGGCGCTCGCTGGGGACAGAATGCGGGGTGAGGGGCAGGGCAGAGCCTGAGCTCATTCACAGCTCCCTTGGAGGGGGCAACGGGTGCTGTTCCCTTCTATGTGAGTGGGGAGTCTGCTAACTCCTCCGCTGTCAGGCTGCAGGATCTCCAGCCTTCCCTTTACCCCGCCGGTGCCAGGGGACGTGCTGCCGTGGGACGCTGGCACGTGGGGGACACGGTCAGGAGGGGCCTCGCAGGCCGACTCCAGACCTGTTCGTGTTTGCAGGTTTCCAGCCCCCCCGGTCTGTGCTGATGCCAGGAGGGTTTCAGCGTTACAGGCCTTTTCTCCTGGCCACTTGTATTGCCGGGTGGGGGTCCCCCCCGGCAGGCAGGTGAGGGGGCGTCTGTATGTTAGGGCGGAGGCACCTTGCTCGGCATTTTCCTAGGAAGCTGTTGGCTCCGTTCCCTAGTGGCAGACGTGGCGGCAGCCAGGAAGGATGAGCCCGTGGTTAAAGCACCAACCTAGGACTTGGGAGACCTGGATTCAGTTCCCCCAGACTTCCTGTGTGGCCTTGGGTCTCTGGGCGCCGTGCCCAGGGGGATAACAGCACAGCCCCTGGGGTGGGAGGATAAACCCATTACGGACGGTGAGGGGCTCGGGGACAACAAGGGTGGGGCCAGGTGAGTGCTCAGACAGGCGGGTAGCTTCAGGGCGCACAGTGCCCTTGGCAGCTCTCCTTTCAGGGCTTGGACCCAGATCCCAGGGCTCCCCCCCGCCCCCGGGTTCTGTGCTTCATCAGGGAAAAGCACCAGCAGCGCTCAGCCATCCATGTGCTGACCCAGCCAGGCCAGGATCTCCCAGCACACAGGCCCCTGACCTGCGTCCACCAGAGAAATCCTGAGAATCCAGCTGCCGTTCCGTTTATCATCCTACACTGGGGAAGAGCAGCCCGCAGCCAGCCCGCTGCCCGGGCTAGTCACGCCTGGGCTGTGGGGGACGACGAGTGCTGCTTCTCTGGCTAGCACGTGTCAGCACTAGGCCAGCGAAAGACAAGTGATGCAGTTTGACCCCAGGTCCCCGGGCAGGGTCCAGGCGGTGCCCGGCGAGGGGCAGCAGCCAACGCTCTCAGATGCGCTTGCAGCCCCTAGGCCCGAGCCAGCCGGTCTCCGCGCTACTGGCAGAAATGCCAGCAGGGGCCCAGCCCTCACGCTGCCATGGGAGAGCCCGACGCCAGGTGTAATCTGCCCACGGAGCAAGGAGCAAAAGGGCCCCTGGATGCGCTGGGCGCACCGATAACGATCACACTAATGGTGTGTGACACACGGGCCGGCCTGCCATGATCTCATCCCGGCTAATGAGGTCAGTGTCTGGCCAGAGTCCAGCACAATCATGGAAACTTCCCCCTCTGTGATTTATCACATCACAGAGCAACGTCTGCGTTTCTCCGCTGCGCACCCACGGGAGCCCGGCGGTAACGGGATCTGTCAAGGCACGTTCCCCAGGAATGCCAAGGAGGGAGGGGGCTGGCTGATGAGGTGCAGCCGATACGGGGAGAGAGGGGTCTCCGTGGCAGTGAGCTGGGGCCTGAGACTCCAGCTTCTCACCCGAGGTTGCTAAGGTGATGAGGGGGTTCCCGGGAGAGCTGGCGGCTCCCCAAGTCTGACACTGGAGAACTTAATGTCCAATAAAGCAGCTCCGCAGGCATTTGAAATCTGGAAACTCGACTCAGTGGTTAACATCGGTCAGGAGAAAATAACGGAGAGGCCCTGCCAGGGCCGGGTTAATAATATTTCTGGGATAGTGTCAGGAAGCTCCCGGGAGATAGAAACCGTCTGAGTGGCAAACGCAGCCGATCTCATTTCCAAAGGGGCCTAGAGAAATCTGGGGAATGTGACGAGCCCAGGCCTACAGGCGTGCCCAGTCCTTTACAGCCTGGGGGGGGGAGCACGTCAGCGGCTCCTGCCGCGTGCCCCTGTGATGAAGTGGGACTGTTCTTAATGTTTCCTCTGAATATTGGGGTGGTGCCTCAGTTTCCTCTATGCAGTTCTTAAGTATGTAGGTGGTGGGGTAAGGGTGTATGATCATTGCAGAGCTCTAGAGGGCAGGTGTGTGCAGGGGTCTGGACACAGAGAATGGCCAACACCCTTTTTCCTGGTCACTGATGGCCTGGGCCCTTCCCCCCTGCAAGGTGAGAGCTGAAGGGTTGGAGAACAAAGGAATCCGGTGACCTGCTGGCCCGGGAAAGGGACAGAGCCCAGAGCAGGGGGGGCTGGAGGGAGTTTCAGTTTGGGGCTGGCTGGGGACATGGAGTGAAGTGCAGACGTGGTTGTCTGGCTCACTGCCTCCCCAAAATGGACCCAGCTGAGGGGGCCTGTTCTCTGCACCTGCAAGTTCTGTTTCAGACCATGTTCCTGTCATCTAATAAACCTCTGCTTTACTGGCTGGCTGAAAGTCACGTCTGACTGCGGAGTTGTGGGGCAGGACCCTCTGGCTTCCCCAGGACCCCGCCTGAGCAGACTTGCTGTGGGAAGCGCACGGAGGGGCAGAGGAGGCTGAATGCTCCGAGGCCAGACCCAGGAAGGTGGAAGCTGGGTGAGCTGTGTGTCCTGGAGACAGGCTGCTCACAGAAAGGCGACTGCCCCAGAGTCCTGACTGGCTTCATGGGGAGCAGTTCCAGAGCATCGCCCATGGATGCCGGGAGAACTGGTGGTAGCGGTGGGATGTACTGCACCCCGTGGATGGCGCTTCCTGCAGTAAGTGACTGGGGAGCAGTAAAACGAAGGGGGATTGATGAGGACCAGGTATGCTGAAGGCTCAGAGAGGAGTGGTTTCGGGGGGGGCGGTTAACCCCGGGAATATGTGAACAGTGAGAAGGACTGAGCAGTAATGAGGTCCCCCTGGGGACTGCGATGAGCAGTCTCAGGGGCGGAGGAGCCTGCGGCTTGGCCCTGGGAGAGAGAAGGACTTTTGCAGTAACAGGGTTTCCCTGGGGATTGCAGCGAGCAGTCCAAGGGGTGGAGGAGTCTGCAGCTCGACCCTGGCAAAGAGGTAGTGACCTCGAGAAGGGCTGGCACACTAGGGGTTCTCCCTGGAAACCGTGGGGAGCTGAGAACACACGGGCCTGTGAGTCCACAACAACTTGGGAGGAGCGGAGTGATGGCCTGTCACCGTCTCCTTAAGAAGGACATTGTAACCCTGTGCAGAAAGAGAGGGTTGAGCATTGGGAAGTTCACCAAAGCACAGTTCATCGTGCAGCTGGAGGAGGATGACCGCTCTAAGGAACAGATTCCTGACCCCAAATGGGGCTATAGCAGGATCTGGGAGCAGCTGGAGTGGGAGCCAGGCATCGCCAAGACTCCTGTCCCTGACCAGATGGGGGTCTTCACAATCGGGTTCCCCATCGGGGGATCGGAGACGGATGGGATTGGAGCTGAGTCCGAGAGAGCAAGAGGACTGTGAGAGACAGCGAGAGCCCGAGAAAGAGCTGCAGAAGCAGCAGCAGCATGAACTGGCGGTGGTGGGGCGGAGAGGCCTAGGGGACCTCCCCGGGGTGAGTGGGGATAGATCCCGGGGGGCCAGTTCCGCAGGGAACCTCGAGACTAAATTGCTGCCCCTGGTTAAGGGCAGGCGGGGATGTGGATGCCCACCTCACTGCCTTTGAGCAGGCTGGAGATTTGAACCAGGGGGACCCTGTGGAAAAGCCCCGGTGTCTAGCTCCCTTGCTGGGTCCCAAGGCCATAGACTCTGTCAGCCAGATGGGTGGGGAGGTGGACAGGCTCCCACTCCTGACCCCAACCTATATGTCTGTGTGGAGTTTCCTGGGGCCAGGCCCCTTGGACCTCCAGTGGGAGGGGAAGGTGATGGTCAATGGGGAGACATTCCTGGGGTGGTGAGATCCTGGGACAGAGAGAACTGTTGTCAGGCCCTGGGTGGTGCAGCCTCAGATGCTGAGGGGCTGTGTGAGCTGGGTGAGGGTCCCAGGGACGAAGCCCCTCGCCCTGCCTATGGCCCGGATCCCTGTGCAGACCCAGGAGGGGTCGGGCTGGCTGGTTGTTGGGGTTCTCCAGGACACCAGCTGCGAGACCCCATTGTGCGGTGACTGTGTGTCTTTGGGACAAGATCCAGGCCCTGCTCCGGTAACTGCCGAAGGTTTGAATTTGAATCCAGGGAACCAATTGGTGGAGAGGGAAATGGTCAGTGAAAATGCAGATGACCTGGCTGGCAGCAGGGAGGAGCGGCTAGGCTCAGGCTACCTGCCTGCCTGTAACCAGACCCCTGGGGCTCCCCGCCCCCTTGCACACTGGAGAGGGGGCTCACGCTGGCTCTGATGCAGTGAGGAAAGCAGCGAGCTCGCTGCCTCCCCCACTGGGACAGCAAGGGCAGCGCTGAGCAAGGGGGGAGATAAGACCCCAGCTGAGTGGGGGGAGACACAGGCAGGGCAGGGGATCTGTGGGGAGTGGCAAGGTGCTTGGTAAGGAAAGTCTGGATGAGCCCAGGCAGCCTTGTGAGCTGATGGCTGTGTCCAGTCAGCAGGGTGGGAAGGCGAGGAGAGTGGAAGATGAGTGTCCCTGGACCTTACCTGTTAGCTGGGTGGAGAATTGGGACAGTGAAGGAAACGTGCCTGTGTCTGTCAGGGGTATTGACTTGCCTATGGAGGGAGCTACCCTGATCTCCAAGCAGTTGTCTGTGACCAGCCTTGTGTGCTGGGACCAGGGGAATGAGATCCCAAGCTGTGTGTCTGGGAAAGGAAAAAGTGTGTCCAGCTCTTCTGTGTCTGTGGAGCAGACAGAAGGGGCCTTTCAGCCTGTGATGGTTGAGGGTCGTGCAGTTGTCTTAGAGCTGGTTCTGGATTCAGCTAAAACCCAGGAAGGGAAGGGTCCTAAGTTTGGGTCTGCTCGGGAGAATGGCCCTGTAACTAGGTCGCATCCAGTTAGTGTCTATGCAAAATCCCAGAGACCAGACAATTCTGGTGCTTGTATTTTGCCTGTTGCTAGTGTGTGGCTGGGAAAGGGTGCAGCAACTCTGTCTAACCAGGGTGAGATCCTAGCCAGGGCACAAGGAGAGCATGAAGGTGATGTGATTGTGTTACCTACTGAGGGAGTGGAAACCTGTAGCAAGAAGGAAAAGATTCCTGAACTTGTGTGTGGCAAAGGGAAGGAGAATGCTTCTGACCTTTTATCTAGGGAGTCTGTCAGTTTGCCTGAAAGGGGATTGTGTAGGAATCCGCCGGATGGGCCAGAGGTAATTCTGGATGTAAGGGAGACCCAGAAAGAGTCTGTTATTGCTCAGGAAAGTGTTCCTCTAGAGCAAGCCCTCGGTAAAGAGGATAAGAGCAGAATTTCTGTGAGGGGTGAATTGTTGCATAGAAAAGCCCTAGGGAAATCCTCATGGAGTCTTTGCAAGCAGTTTACTGCAACTGAAGGAGAGTGTGAAAGTGATTTAATCAAGAAAGTTTCAGTTCCTAACAGCCCGAAATTTTCTGTTGTGAATGGATCCACTGACTGTCCTGTTGAAAGATCCAGTGTGGATAGCTTTGAGAAGGTCTCAGATGAAGTGAAAGCTGTTAAGAAAGTTAAACAGTCCGAAAACCAAGTGGCTGTGTTTGGCCAGCTTGTTGGGGAGAAGACCCAATCCCAGTTTGACCCCCTGGAGTTTTGGGGTGGCCAAAGGGCACAGGCTGCATAAACCTTCCCACATGCGGCCTGTGAGTGCTATCGACCACCCCCGACCTAAGGGAGGGCGTGAAACTGGAAGGGCCTGGTGAAACTCCCACCAAGGAATGGGAGAGATGCTGGGGCATCCATGGGAACATTGGTGGCTTTGAACTTCCCCAGGTCACTGTGACGAAGTGGGACTGTTCTTTATGTTTCCTCTGAATAGTGTGGGGGTGCCTCAGTTTCCCCTAGGCAGTTCTTAAGTATCTAGGTGGTGGGCTAAGGGTGTATGATCATTGCAGAGCCCTAGAGGGCAGGTGTGTGCAGGAGTCTGGACACAGAGAATGGCCGACACCCTGTTTCCTGGCAACTGATGGCCTGGGCCCTTCCCCCCTGCAAGGTGAGAGCTAAAGGGTTGGAGAACAAAGGAATCAGGTGACCTCCTGGCCTGGGAAAGGGACAAAGCCCAGAGGAGGAGGGGCTGGAGGGAGTTTCAGTTTGGGGCTGGCTGGGACATGGAGTGAAGTGCAGACGTGGTTGTCTGGCTCACTGCCCCCCAAAATGGACCCAGCTGAGGGGTCCCGTTCTCTGCACCTGCAAGCTCTGTGTTAGACCATGTTCCTGTCGTCTAATAAACCTCTGTTTTACTGGCTGGCTGAGAGTCCCGTCTGACTGCGAAGTTGGGGTGCAGGACCCTCTGGCTTCCCCAGGAGCCCCGCCTGAGCGGACTCACTGGGGGAAGCGCACGGAGGGGCAGAGGATGCTGAATGCTCCGAGGTCAGACCCAGGGAGGTGGAAGCTGTGTGAGCTGTGTGTCCTGAAGACAGGCTGCTCACAGAGAGGAGACTTCCCCAGAGTCCTGATTGGCTTCATGGGGAGCAGTTCCAGAGCATCGCCCAGGGACTCCGTGACAGTCACCGGCTAAGTGACCCAGCTCAGTTCGATCTCGAAGGGGGGAGAGATGTGATGAAGTGGGACTGTTCTTAGTGTTTCCTCTGAATATTGTGTGGGTGCCTCAGTTTCCCCTATGCAGTTCTTAAGTATCTAGGAAGTGGGATAAGGGTGTATGATCATTGCAGAGCCCTAGAGGGCAGGTGTGTGCAGGGGTCTGGACACAGAGAATGGCCGACACCCTGTTTACTGGCAACTGATGGCCTGGGCCCTTCCCCCCTGCAAGGTGAGAGCTAAAGGGTTGGAGAACAAAGGGATCAGGTGACCTCCTGGCCTGGGAAAGGGACAAAGCCCAGAGGAGGAGGGGCTGGAGGGAGTTTCAGTTTGGGGCTGGCTGGGGACATGGAGTGAAGTGCAGACGTGGTTGTCTGGCTCACTGCCCCCCAAAATGGACCCAGCTGAGGGGTCCTGTTCTCTGCACCTGCAAGTTCTGTTTTAGACCATGTTCCTGTTGTCTAATAAACCTCTGCTTTACTGGCTGGCTGAGAGTCACGTCTGACTGCGGAGTTGTGGGGCAGGACCCTCTGGCTTCCCCAGGACCCCGCCTGGGTGGACTGGCTGTGGGAAGCGCACGGAGGGGCAGAGGAGGCTGAATGCTCCGAGGTCAGACCCAGGAAGGGGGAAGCCGGGTGAGCTGTGTGTCCTGAAGACAGGCTGCTCCCAGAGAGGAGACTTCGTCAGAGTCCTGCCTGGCTTCATGGGGAGCAGTTTCAAAGCATTGCCCAGCGACTCCATGACAGCCCCACAGCTCAGCATCTGGGAACCTTACATTGAGCTTGGGGCAAGGAGCAGACAGCGGCTCTGCCCCTGGGTGCTGTAGGAGTCCCTAGCCACGCCGGGACTGGCTGCGCCGCTCGTCGTGTGAGCCCAGCCAGCCCCAGAGCTCATGCTGGTCATGTGAAAAGAGCCCAGTGGGAGAGACTGGCTCCCCCAGGGACCTCCGCTCAGCCCCACGCCCTTGGCGTAATCCCTGGGCACCGGAGCCAGGCACTCTCCCCAGCGCACACCAGGTGTTTGGCCAGGGGCTGCAGCTGCCCCCGGCAGGTCCCCCGGCAGAAAGCCCCATGCCAGCTCTAGAGTGTGGGACGGCTGAAGGCACAGGGCCGGCCTGCCCGGGGCCTGGAGCTACTGACCCACCCAGCCAGGCCTTGGCTTGGACAATGTGCTGCTCCAAACAAGCCTGCGCCCCACCCAGCCCCCCACACATCACAGGGCTGCTGGACCCTGTTAATGCCCCCAGGCCCCATGGAGCTGCTCCATGCCCCGGCCCGCTCAGCCCCAGAGCTTTCGGCTGCCTCCTCCCTTCCCGCTCCGGTCTGATGTCTGCCTAGCCTGGGGGGCGGGGGTCAGAGCACTGTAGAAATGGGGGGCTGGAAGGGCCCTTGAGAGGTCATCAAATCCAGCCCCCTCCCTCTTTGGCACTCCTAGTGAAGATGCCTTGACAGACCCAAACCTGGAACAAGCCTGGACAGGGGGCTGGCAAAACCTGGTCTTAAAAAGCCAGTGACAGGGACCCCACAGCCTCCCTGGAAGCCTGGTCCGGCGCTCAGGGCTCAGCTCCCCTTCGCGTTAAAACTGTTCTCTTCCCTGGCCACAGGTTCAGCCCGTTACTTCCTGTGGCCCCGAAGAGCAGCTGATCCCCCCCGGCCCTGGCCCAGCTCCCCACTCCGGGGGCTTTTCTCCAGACGAAACGTGCCCAGGTTTTAACCTGGCCCCGCAGGCCGGGTTCTCTACCCCTTTGACCATGGGGGAGGGAGCCTGTGACGAAGTGGGACTGTTCTTAATGTTTCCTCTGAATAGTGTGGGGGTGCCTCAGTTTCCCCTAGGCAGTTCTTAAGTATCTAGGTGGTGGGGTAAGGGTGTATGATCATTGCAGTGCCCTAGAGGGCATGTGTGTGCAGGAGTCTGGACACAGAGAATGGCCGACACCCTGTTTCCTGGCAACTGATGGCCTGGGCCCTTCCCCCCCTGCAAGGTGAGAGCTGAAGGGTTGGAGAACAAAGGAATCAGGTGACCTCCTGGCCTGGGAAAGGAACAAAGCCCAGAGGAGGAGGGGCTGGAGGGGTTTTTCAGTTTGGGGCTGGCTGGGACATGGAGTGAAGTGCAGACGTGGTTGTCTGGCTCACTGCCCCCCAGAATGGACCCAGCTGAGGGGTCCCGTTCTCTGCACCTGCAAGCTCTGTTTTAGACCATGTTCCTGTCGTCTAATAAACCTTCTGTTTTACTGGCTGGCTGAGAGTCACGTCTGACTGCGAAGTTGGGGTGCAGGACCCTCTGGCTTCCCCAGGAGCACCGCCTGAGCGGACTCGCTGTGGGAAGCGCACGGAGAGGCAGAGGATGCTGAATGCTCCGAGGTCAGACCCAGGAAGGTGGAAGCTGTGTGAGCTGTGTGTCCTGAAGACAGGCTGCTCACAGAAAGGCGACTACCCCAGAGTCCTGACTGACTTCATGGGGAGCAGTTCCAGAGCATCGCCCAGGAACTCCGTGACAACTGGTGGCAGCTGTGGGATCTACTGCACCCCGTGGATGGCGCTTCCTGCAGTAAGTGACTGGGGAGCAGTAACACGAAGGGGGATTGCCGAGGACCAGGCCTGCTGAAGGCTCAGAGAGGAGCGGTTTCGGGGGGCGGTTAACCCCTGGGAGTGTGTGACCAGCGAGAAGTACTGTGCAGTAATGGGGTCCCCCTGGGGACTGCAGTGAGCAGTCTCAGGGGCGGAGGAGTCTGCAGCTCGACCCTGGCAAAGAGGTGGTGACCTTGAGAAGGGCTGGCACACTAGGGGTTCTCCCTGGAAACCGTGGGGAGCTGAGAACACACGGGCCTGTGAGTCCACAACAACTTGGGAGGAGCGGAGTGATGGCCTGTCACCGTCTCCTTAAGAAGGACATTGTAACCCTGTGCAGAAAGAGAGGGTTGAGCATTGGAAAGTTCACCAAAGCAGAGTTAATCGTGCAGCTGGAGGAGGATGACCGCTCTAAGGAACAGATTCCTGACCCCAACTGGGGCTATAGCAGGATCTGGGAGCAGCTGAAGCGGGAGCCAGGCATCGCCAAGACTCCTGTCCCCGACCAGACGAGGGTCTTCACGATCGGGTTCCCCATCGGGGGATCGAGACGGACGGGATTGGAGCTGAGTCTGAGAGAGCAAGAGGACCGTGGGAGACAGCGAGAGCCCGAGAAAGAGCTGCAGAAACAGCAGCAGCATGAACTGGCGGTGGTGGGGCGGAGAGGCCTAGGGGACCTCCCCGGGGTGAGTGGGGATAGATCCCGGGGGGCCAGTTCCGCAGGGAACCTCGAGACTAAATTGCTGCCCCTGGTTAAGGAGGGGGGGGTGTGGATGCCCACCTCACTGCCTTTGAGCAGGCTGGCGATTTGAACCAAGGGGACCCTGCGGAAAAGCCCCGGTGTCTAGCTCCCTTGCTGGGTCCCAAGGCCATAGACTCCGTCAGCCAGGTGGTTGGGGATGTGGACAGGCTCCCACTCCTGACCCCAACCTATATGTCTGTGTGGAGTTTCCTGGGGCCAGGCCCCCCGGACCTCCAGTGGGAGTAGAAGGTGATGGTCAATGGGGAGACATTCTTGGGGTGGCCAAAGGGCATGGGCTGCATAAACCTTCCCACATGCGGCCTGCGAGTGCTATCGACCACCCCTGACCTAAGGGAGGGCGTGAAACTGGAAGGGCCTGGTGTAACTCCTACCAAGGAATGGGAGAGATGCTGGGGCATCCATGGGAACGTTGGTGGCTTCGAACTTCCCCAGGTCACCGGCTAAAGTGACCCCGCTCAGTTCGATCTCGAAGGGGGGAGAGATGTGACGAAGTGGGACTGTTCTTAATGTTTCCTCTGAATAGTGTGGGGGTGCCTCAGTTTCCCCTAGGCAGTTCTTAAGTATCTAGGTGGTGGGGTAAGGGTGTATGATCATTGCAGTGCCCTAGAGGGCATGTGTGTGCAGGAGTCTGGACACAGAGAATGGCCGACACCCTGTTTCCTGGCAACTGATGGCCTGGGCCCTTCCCCCCCTGCAAGGTGAGAGCTGAAGGGTTGGAGAACAAAGGAATCAGGTGACCTCCTGGCCCGGGAAAGGAACAAAGCCCAGAGGAGGAGGGGCTGGAGGGGTTTTTCAGTTTGGGGCTGGCTGGGACATGGAGTGAAGTGCAGACGTGGTTGTCTGGCTCACTGCCCCCCAGAATGGACCCAGCTGAGGGGTCCCGTTCTCTGCACCTGCAAGCTCTGTTTTAGACCATGTTCCTGTCGTCTAATAAACCTTCTGTTTTACTGGCTGGCTGAGAGTCACGTCTGACTGCGAAGTTGGGGTGCAGGACCCTCTGGCTTCCCCAGGAGCCCCGCCTGAGCGGACTCGCTGTGGGAAGCGCACGGAGGGGCAGAGGATGCTGAATGCTCCGAGGTCAGACCCAGGAAGGTGGAAGCTGTGTGAGCTGTGTGTCCTGAAGACAGGCTGCTCACAGAAAGGCGACTACCCCAGAGTCCTGACTGACTTCATGGGGAGCAGTTCCAGAGCATCGCCCAGGAACTCCGTGACAGAGCCCTTCTGCCCGTCTCCCAGCCGGGACACACACACGGTTGCTGAAGGGTTTTATTGGCAGGGGAAGCATGGCAGGGATACAGGGGACGCGCAGTGCTGGGAGCTCTCCCGGGGGCAGCAGCAGAGCGGCCAGAGCGGTTAGCAGCTCCAGCCTGGGGGTCCTTGCGGCTGGGGCCAGCAGGTGCCTCTCCTGCAGGCTGTCACGGGCCGGGCCAGCACCCCGCGAAGCCCAGACAACAAGGTCTCCTGCCCCTTGCCAAGCAGATGTAAGAGGTGCCCCTTCTCCAGGAGGGCCAGAGAGCAGCAGGACAGTTCCAGGTCTCCCCGGGGCACTAGGTGAGGCCCCTGGCAGTGTCCACAATTTCTCCCCAGGGCCTGGCCAGTGCCCGTCTCTATGATAACGCCAGGCACCCAGCTTCCTGCCATGGGCCCCGGCCGGATCCATGGTGGGAAGTCACTTGCTGGGGCTCACCAGCACCCGACTGGCACCTTCAGCAGAGGGGCACCCCCTGGCGCCCCAGGGATTCCTGCTGGGAGAGGCTGGGCCGTGGGACTGCCGTGGCTGGGCGCTCCTGCAGAGCCAGCACCTCCCCTGGGAGAGTCGGGGGCTGGAGCAGATGAGCTGCCTGGAGCCCGTGCACCTGCCCTGCCCGCCGCAGCCGCAATGCCTTGGCCACGGTGCCGCCCTGCTGGGACCCGGCGTTCGGCCCCGGGGCGCTGCTGGCTGAGGCTGGTTGTGTGCGGGCGGGCGGGGCGGGGCAGGCTGGGTGCTGAGCCGCACCCCGCGCTGGGCTGATCTCGCTGCCCGTGGAGCGCAGCGCTCCGGCTGCTCAGCCGGGCACAGGCCTAGGAGCAGCTCTTGGAGAGCGGGAGCTGCAGGCTGGGCCAATAGGGGGTCTCAGGCCCTTCTCCCGGCTTGGGGGCTGGGTCGGACCCCCAGCAGGGGTCGCTCCGTGCGGCTTGAGGGGCGTCAGGGCTGGTTTCCCCCAGCCGAGGGGCTGCACGGTGGGGCGTGGGGGGCAGGAGGGGAAGCAGCCTTGTTCTAAGCAGCCTTGAGAGCCCCAGGACATGCGAAGGCTCCCGGCTGGAGCTGTAACAGCAGCCAGGACAGCGGGGCAGGGGCAGAGCGATACCCAGGCAGTGCCGTGGCCGGGGGGCGGGGGGCGAGAAAGCTTGGCGGAAGGCAGGAAGCTGCTGTCCATCGGGGCTCCATGGCAGCTCCAGCGTGGGACCCCCGCGCCTCACATCCCTGGGGAGACACAAGCCCGGGTGACCCGTCAGCGCCAGGCCCGGACCGCGGCTCTCAGCCCAGCCCAGCCCCAGGGGAGCTTTACGGCCCCTGCTGGTGGCCGCAGGACACGCGACCTGCTGCTCCCGCCACGGTCCTGTCACGTGGCGCAGGCAGAGCCACGTCGCCCGCTCCTCCCGCAGCAGCCAGGTCGGCTGCGTCTCCCCCAGCACGCGCCCCCCTGGAGCTGGGCGATCCCCAGGATGGGGGGCACTGGCCGTGCCGTAACAGGGGCTGCAGCCTCTGCCCCGGCCGTGCTCAGAAACCCCTGGCTTCGGGCTCACGAGCGAGCGCAGGGCCTGGCCCCTCCCTGTGCCTGGCCAGAGGGTTCGCCCCCCTCACCCCCCCGCTTCTCCTGGTACCTTAAGATGCAACAGCCTCCTCCGAGTCGGTGTCGTGGTCCACACCTGGAAACGATGGGAAACACCCAGGGTTAGCACAGGCCCCGGGGGCCGTCCCGGAGCATGTGCCCCGAGCCCCCTGACCCGAGCCACGCGGGCCGGAAGCAGCAGCCTGGGGCACTCGCTCAGCTGCAGGATCCCTCCCCTCTCCCCAGGGCTCCCCTGACGGGACCAGGGTCCCCCCTCCTTGCCCCTCCCCCTCTCCCCTGCGCTCCCCCGCCGGGGCCCGGCTGTCTCCTGCTCTCCTGGATGCTGGAGCAAACCTGCCCTGTGCGTTGTGCCCAGCCACCGCGCCCAGCCCCAGGGGAACCTGCCCGCAGCAGATCAGGGGCCACTTTCGCAGCCGACAGGTCCGGCAGCTCCTGGGCTGCTCGGTGCAGCACGGGCCACTTAGCGATTTGTTACTGAGTGTGCGGGGGGTGAGCGTCTGGCCGTGGGGCACGCTCTGCTCAGGGGCTCAGCCAGACCGGGGGTGGCTCGCGGGAGGGGCGGCCTTTTGGGGCTCTTACTCTCTTGCGACTCGTTGGACTGAGCAGGCAGGTCCCCCGCAGGACCTGAAAGGAGGAAAAGAAAAGCAACACGTCAGAGCTGGCCTGGCCAGGCCTCGGGCCATCTCCCAAAGGCCTCCAGGTGCCCATGGCTGAACCCACCAGCCCAGCCCCAGCCTCCCCTGCTGGGAGGGAATCGGGGCGTGGGCTTGTGGGGGCCATCTGCCCTGCCAGCGCTGGCCATTGGGACAGCCCACCCAGTAGCCCACCCCCTGCCAGGGCCAGTGGCCAGCACCTGATGCTTCCCCATAATGCCCTTGGCCCATTGGACATTGCCAGGGCCAGGGGGCTCCGGGCCACCCCTGGCAGCCTCGCGCGGGGCGGGCGTGTTACCGCTTTGGGCGTCCCCAGCCAAGGGGTCCAGGTTAAAGGTCCCGCTGTTGAGGGCGTCGAGGCTGGCAGAGTCCCCGTCCAGGCCGCCTGGGTGCGCGTCGTCAGTGAGCAACCGCTCTGCTCCCCCGAGGCTTACCGGGGTCACCCCTGCGAGGACGGAGAGGTGAGGGCAGTGCTCAGCGGGCAGGGGAATGGGGCAAAGCCAGAGGAAGCTCCCTGGGGAACATCTCTCACGGTGGCGGGAGGGGATGGAGACAGGCAGTCACCCCCAAGGCTGGCAGCCTCCTGTCACCAGTGACACAGTCTCTGTGGAGTCCCGGGGCACAACACAGACCCACCCCACAGGGCACCCAGACCCGCAGCTTCTGCCCAGGGGGGACAGAGATCGGGGCTGTGGGTCGGGAGTGAGAGGCACTGGCAGGGATGTGGGGAGCCCAGGGCTGGAAGGGCAGGGGGCTGCGGGTCGGGACTGAGGGGCACCGGAAGGGCTCGGGGGGAGGAGGGAAGCTGGGAGCCACAAGGGCAAAGCCTGCAGCAGGCTGGGCATTTTCCCCATTTCAGGGCTCATGGACGCTGCGGCCGGCAGGGTTCCCACCTCGGTTCCTTAGGGTGGACGTGTGAAGACAGATGAGCCCCTGATGTCCAGAGAGGCCAAGCCCAGAACCCCCCATTGCAGTCCCCCGCCCCCTGATGGGGGTAGGGGCTTGGCTTCAGTCACCACATTTGACCTTTTTGGTTTAAATTACTTGCCCAAGGCTGCGTCATGAACCAGTGGCAGAGCTGAAAAAAGAACCCTGGTGTCCTGACCCCCAGCCCCGCCCCTGGTCTAACCCCAGCCCCACTCCCCTTCTGGGGGTAGGAGTAGAACCCAGGAAGCCTGAGTCCAGTCCCCCTGCATCCTGCCCGGAGCTGGGAACAGAGCGCGGGTCTCTCTGCCCAGGAGCCTGAGCTCCAGCCTGCGTGCGCCCCTGGGGTCCCCAGGCCCTACCTCTTGTGAGCTGCACCAGAGGGGTGCTGAGCTCACCTGCAATGGGGAGAGATGGGAGGGGTGAGGGGGGCCCTCTGCAGAGCCAGGGCCGTGGGCGGCTCCCTCTGCGCTGACCCATGCAGCAGCTGGTGCTGGGTGTGCCCGTGTGGACGGGAGCTGGGCCTGGCATCTCAGTGGGGCAGACCCCAAAAGGGGCTCCGGGAGAGAGCCCCAGGGCAGGGGCTGGAGAGGCCTGTGGGGCAGGGTCTCAGCAGAAACATGTGCCCTGGGGCTGCAGGGCCCTTGGCCTTTCACTTGCCCTCCATCCCATTGCTGCCCCCAGGGGGGCCTCAAGGCTCCTTGCAGCTGGGGGGAGCCAGGGCTGTTCTCGGCTTCCTCTGGGGTTTCGGCCTGTCGCCCGCAGCCCCACAGGCCCTGGGGAAGGGCCCACCCACTCTGAGCCCTCAGGCGTCTGCTTGTAGCCTTGGGGCTAGTGAGATAAATGCCAAGGGGGCCCTGCTGGGCACCCCGGGGCTTTGTAGCTGGTGCCCCTGCTGTTAGCCCCTTGGCCCAGCCCCGAGCAGGCCAGGGAGCCCGGGGCTCAGAGCTGGCCTGTACCAGCCCTGCGGCGCTGGGTCCGGAGCAGGGATCAGGAAGCCGGGCGAGGTCCCATTGCCAGGACAGGGCCCGGCTCCCAGCAGACCTGGGCTGAGCCGTGGGGTCACTGGAGGCTTGGGGGCTGGGCACAAGCACCCCAGGGCCCCCCTCGAAACAGCCCGGCCACCTCGTGCCCTCAAGCCTGGGGCGAGCCCTGCCCAGTTCCCGCTCTCAGGGCCGGGCAAGGACCTCTCCTGCCAGCGGCATCCCCTGAGCCCCGGCCCAGCGGGGAGCCACCCGGGGGGGCCTTTGCTTACTGTCTCCCAACACCTCCAGTTTGCCATGGCTGACAGGCTCTGGAAGAGTCAAGCAGGGAGCGAGGTCAGCGCCCGGCCCCCACCCGCCCCAGCCCCACCCGCCACAGGGCTGTAGAGGGGGAAACTGAGGCACAGAGGGGGCAGGAATGGGCCCCAGGGCAGAGAGTGAGCTGGGGCACTGCCAGGAGTTGGACCCAGGATCGCGTGCCAGCACTTCCTGGCTTGAGTGCCAGAGCCCAGTGCCATCTGGTGCCCTGCCCTGGAGGGTTCCCAGTACAGCCCCTT